GGCAGAGCAGCTGGAAGTCAGTGTAGAGGAAACGGACCTGGGGTTGTCGGTTGATACTCAGCTGAACACGAGCCAGCAGGGTGCCCAGTGGCCAAGAGGACCAATGGTATCCTGGCCTGCATCAGAAATGGTGCTGCCAGCAGATCAGGAAGTGATTGTTCCTCTGGTGAGGCTGCAGCTCCAGTGCTGTGTTCAGCTCTGGGTCCCTTGCTGCAAGAAGGGTCCTGGGGAGACCTCACTGCGCTCTAACTCCTGAGGGAGGCTGTGGTGAGTTGGGGGTTGGTCTCTACTCTCAACTAACAGTGAGAGGACGAGAGGGAACGGCCTCAAGTTGCACCAGGGGAGATTCAGCACCATCCTCTGTGTCCTCATGGGAGAAGAGCAGCGTGCGGCTGCTGCCCTCCTGAAACACAGCCTCATCCACAGGCTCTCCGTCGATCTCTTTAGAAAGAAGGTAGCAGAGTGGGACAGTAAATATCTGCTCTTACCAGGAAGACGTTATCTTCAGAGGGCACTACTTCTCAGAAGACATCAATGTTTTCCACATACGTAGAATGTTGGTTTCCAAGCCCTCTGGTGAACAGACAGAAATATGCCCACCAGATACTGCATTCTCCATCGTGACTGTCTGTAGAATGTGAGAAGACCTCTGCAAATATCTTTGTCTTACCAACTTCCCTCTCTGTCTCACAGGACCTGAACAGGATGTACCAGGACACGTTTCAGATGAACCAGCTACTGAACTCTATTTGGTGCAGTCCATCCAGACAGACCACCCTGCCCACCCCTGGGATACCAGCGGGGCTCCGGCATGGGAAGCAGCTGCAGGTTTGGCATGGCTCTCTCTGGAGGCACTTCTGCAAGCAAAGAACCATGAAAGCTTTCCATCATCTGTGTCACGCGTAACGGCACAGTGCCATCTGAGGAGCAGATGGTACCAGAGGATGGTGCAGGGACAGGGCACGCACGTGCAGCTCTGTGCTCTCACTCCTGCAGGCGTGCCTGGCTGACATTAGGGCTGTGAGCTGGCAGCTCACAAAGGAAGTAAAAAGCCATGACATACTCATACCATCTGCTAGAGCTTCCATCCGGGGAGCCAGCTGGGATTCTGCATCCCATTCATCTCCACTCACATCTGTAAACAAACAGGACAGAGCAGCTCATATCAAACACGTCCATATCCACATCCAGATGGAAACAAGGAGGGATCGCTCCACAGCACTCTTCTCTCCCTTCCACACAGCAGCATCTCAGCCATACATGCCAGGTGCCTGCAGTGGCACTGTGCTGATACACAACAATCCATGTGTGGAACTGTCTGGAGACGGGGAGGGGAAGAGAACTGAAAGGGGACAAAGAGGGGAGGAAAATAGAACGGTAGGGGGAGCCCCAAAGGCTCTGTCCTGGCAGTGTTCCTGAGGTTCCACCTCAGGAACAAAAGCTGTGTCTGACCAGAACACTGGATAGAAAGGACCAGTGTAGTCATCTAGAATCACAATCAGATAAGAGAAGTTCCCATTAAATCTGTGATCTCTTTTTCCATCAAAGACCAGAGCTGGGTCAGGTAATGAGATGGGATAAACATCCAGGTTGTCAGTTCCACAGCTACAGTGGAACAGGGAGACCCACCGGCTGGCCACAGGCAGGTTGCAAAACACTCTGCAGGCCACGTGCAGTACCATCATGGACCGCACAGACCAACATTTGGGCACTCAGGCCTTACTTACCACTGCAGATCAGTGGTGGACACAAAGGGAGGTGACACTAAAGCATGAGAGGAAAATATGTAGCCAGAACTTTGCTCTCCTGAAGTTCAGAGTCCTGGTCCACTTTTTGCCAGATCTGCATTCTTCAAGATCACAAACTCCATCAAGGCATTCATTACAGCCCAGGCTGCCTCCAGTCTTAACCTCTCTAACGCTCTCCTCTGCACTGGTGAGCACCAAGTCCAGTAAGGCTTCACACCAGGTCGGTCCATCTGTTACTGGACCAGCAGGTCGGCTTTGGCAGACCCCAGCAATCTCCTCTACTGTCTGCCCCCTGCTGTGCTGCTCTCCTAGCAGGTATCCAGGCAGTTGAAATCCCCCATCAGGACAAGAGCCTGCGAGCGTGACACCTCTTGCAGCTGAAGCAAGAAGGGCTCGTCAACAGCTTCCTCCTGATCGGGTGGGCTGCAGCAGACTCCGACCACCGGGTGCTCTTTGCTGGGCCGGTCCTTGATTTTTACCCACAGCTCTTGACCCAATCACAGCCATTCCTCAGACACAGCTCCTCGCAGTCCATCCGCTCCTAGCACAGGGCAGCTCCCTTGCCATAGCTGCCTCCCCTCCCCTCCCCTTTCCACTCCCCTCCCCTCCCCTTTCCACT